AAATTATTCTAAATGTATTCCTATTTCATTTGAAAGTACAAAACAATTAAACGCACCAGTCGTTTGTGGAATTCTTACTTTTTTATTTAAAGCAACAAAAATTGTTCTTATCCATTCTATTTTTAAATAAAATGTTTAAGGCATCATGTTTTCAAATTGTTTCGCCCAAATGATGAATGACCTAAAAATGTTTTTGGAGGGCAAAAGAGGCAAAAGAACATACTGTCATAATTTTAAACTTTGATTCTATACGGCTTAGTTCAAATATTTTCTTAACATGGAAGGTATGTATATAATGCTCTGCTTACTCATCACCCACAAATACATAGTATGTATGTAGTTAAATGTAAATGGGAATGAAAATTTATGATGGTTCATTCAAATATTTATGAGAAAACGACTTTTATGTGTGGCAAAAGTCATAAATAAAATCAATGAAAAGGTTTTTATTTGAGTTGCAATAAAATATTAGTTAGTGTTTTTTATTTAATATTCATTTAGTTATGTTTGTATTTACTATCTATATATTTCAAATATAACGGTTTTCGTTTCATGTAATGTTAATCTTACTTTACTTTTAAATTTAACATCCCCTGTTAATGCTAACAACTTGGCAGCACTCTTGTTTGACTTGCCTGCCAAGACAGTGTTGCTATAGTATTTTGTTAAAAAAACACTTACAAAACTGTTTGATAAACTCAATATTTTTCGAAAATGTTCAAGATGTTTAACCGTTTTCAATAAATTTTGTTCAATAGTTATTTATTTTAATTAAATTTAACATTAGAAATCAATGTTTCAATAGAAATCATAAAATATTTGTTTTTATTTTTCAAAAAACGCTAAATTACGACCATTGTTCAACAGCTGATATTTGTTTACACTTTGTTTTCTTTAGCCGGCATTTATTTGTTCTTCTTTCAATTGCGTAAATTCTTGAATTTTTTAAAGTTATTGATTTTAATGGCTCTCCAAAAGTTAAATCTTCTTCCTTTCAACCTAATCAACACCTCTAAAAGGTTTATACATACTACCACAAGAAAATGTAAAACATTTCGTCAAATGTATCGTGATTTCTGGACACCAAAACAGGGCAATCAACCACCCTATGGCCACTTTACACAAGTTGGAGATCCTGTGTTACGTTCAGCAGCCGCTGAGGTACCAAAGGATATGTTAAATAGTAAAGAAATTGATATGATTGTGGATCAAATGATAAAAGTTTTAAGAAAGTACGATTGTGTCGGGATAGCCGCACCACAAATTGGTGTATCTTTGCGTATTATTGTTATGGAATTTAGAAAGGATTTGGATAAGAAATTTACAAAGGAAGTCTATGAGGCTAGGAAGATGTCACCACTGCCGTTGACGGTAAGTTTGAAGGAGTGTTTAATTGATGGGCTTAAGAAATTTGAAATGTATTGTGAAAATTTTAATAAAAATGTGTGAGAATGGGAGACAATGTGAAAAATTTTAATAGATAGATAGATAGATAGATATAGATAGATAGATAGATAGATAGTTAGATAGATAGATAGATAGATAGATAGAGATAGATAGATAGATAGATAGATAGATAGATAGATAGATAGATAGATAGATAGATAGATAGATAGATAGATAGATGATAGATAGATAGATAGATAGATAGATAGATAGATAGATAGATAGATAGATAGATAGATAGATAGATAGATAGATAGATAGATAGATAGATAGATAGATAGATAGATAGATAGATAGATAGATAGATAGAGATAGATAGATAGATAGATAGATAGATAGATAGATAGATAGATAGATAGATAGATATAGATAGATAGATAGATAGATAGATAGATAGATAGATAGATAGATAGATAGATAGATAGATAGATAGGTAGATAGATAGATAGATAGATAGATAGATAGATAGATAGATAGATAGATAGATAGATAGATAGATAGATAGATATCTTCACTTTCATATAATTACTTCTTAATTTATTTTTAATATCTTTCTTTCCAGGTTATGATTAATCCCACCTTAAAAGTAACCAACTACACTAAACATAAACATCCCGAAGGCTGTATGAGTGTTCGTGGCTATTCTGCGGAAGTTGAACGTTACGAAGGTGTTACCTTAACGGGCATAGGTAAAAGGGATACACCCTCCGAGCTACAACTAACAGGTTGGAATGCACGTATAGCACAACATGAAATGGATCATTTAGATGGCAAACTATATATAGATCAAATGGATCGTTCAACATTTTATTGCACCTGTTGGGAGACGGTCAATTCAAAGGCAGGACGTGTGGAAATACCATTTTATAAGTAAAAATTGAATACACTATCTCAGAGGAAACTTTTACTTTCAAATTTTCTAAGAAAAGAAAATTGTACATTCTAAAATAGAATTTTGTTTTGATTTTCAAAATCTGCAGATTACAATATTAGGTGCAATTTTTGAAATATTACTAGTTTTGTTATTAATTATTGAAAAATAAAGTCTATTTGTAAATTTAATTACATTACTTTTTTAGCAAACTTCATATATTTTTCAATTTTATCTTAAAAATGTTAAAATTTTTTATCAAATTACTTTGAAATAGAAATTGATAAAGTATTTTAACAAACCCATTTCAGTATCAAAATAACTGTCTCAGATCAAACTCTAAAAGCGCAATTAAAAAACTAAAATTTCTTTAAAATTTTAAAATTGAAAAAGAACAATTCAAATTTAAGCCAAATATAAATACATTAAAAATAATCATTAAACAGTGCTTAAAATATATACAATCAATTTATTAAAATATCAGTGTGGAAAAAGCCATTTACCTTTCACAAAAAATCTCATCTTTTTAAGAGCATTACCTTTTTTTTTAAATGAAAAGAAAAAACAACAACATGAAAACAACAAACAACAACATTGTCAACATGTTTTAAATTAATGATGACGATAACGAAATATTGAATAATGACAATAAGAACAAAAAAAGATTCTTCCAAAAGAAATATGTATTACAAATAAACATATTCATCATATCTTTTCATCTATTGCAATGTGTGTGAAATAAAATTTGTTATCTGTAAAAATCATTGTTTAAAAGAAAAACCAAAATCACAAAAGAAATAAATGATAACATTTTCTACTACTCAGACAGTTTTAAATCATCAATATTGTTATTTTATATAAACACAAGAAATAATATGTTTTCTGTCACCCAACTTCCCATTAATATACTTCTTATAATCATTATTTTAATATTGAGTGATGGAAATATACAAATTGGCAAGTAGTAAAACAAATCATGTTTAAATATATGAGTCATTTCTTAGGAAACTGCTAAAAAAAACTTAAAAAAATACCTTTTTTGTTTGAGTTTTTTTTATTTTCAATAAATATTTTTGTAGCAAATATTATTGTAAAAAATTCCAAGAAAATTTAAAATTTATTAAAATAAATTCGGCTAAATATGAAATGACTCATATAGCAAACTAATATTTTACCTTAAGGACAGAGTGGTTGAAATAGACTTCGCAAAATATAAGTTTTAGAAAACAAATATTGATCAATAATTACTGTAGAACCTGATTTTTAAGGATTTACTCGATTCATTAAGAGCACATTTTTATTCCCCAAAAAATTTAGCCACAAATGTAGAACTTTTTATCAATAATTCATTCGAAATCGAGCCATATATTCCGTCTGGAAAAGCCATAGTTTTTCATCACTGGTTCAGAATTACTTATCATGAATCGTTGGATTAAGGAAATTATCGCTTGGTTACAGTACTAGATTATGGATGATATTAGTCAGTCAGTTAGATAGATAGATAGATAGATAGATAGATAGATAGATAGATAGATGATAGATAGATAGATAGATAGATAGATAGATAGATAGATAGATAGATAGATAGATAGATAGATAGATAGATAGATAGATAGATAGATAGATAGATAGATGGTAGATAGATAAGATAGATAGATAGATAGATAGATAGATAGATATGTCGGTAGCTAGCTCGATCGATCGCTATATCGATCGCTCGCTCGCTAGCTAGCTCGCTCGCTAGCTCGATCGCGCTCGCTCGCTCGCTCGCTCGCTCGCTCGCTCGCTCGCTCGCTCGCTCTCTCGCTCGCTCGCTCGCTCGCTCGCTCGCTCGCTCGCTCGCTCGCTCGCTCGCTCGCTCGCTCGCTGCTCGCTCGCTCGCTCGCTCGCTCGCTCTCTCGCTCGTTCGCTCGGTTCGCTCTCGCTCCTCTCGCTCGCTCGCTCGCTCGCTCGCTCGCTCGCTCGTCGCTCGCTCGCTCGCTCCGCTCGCTCGCTCGCTCGCTCGCTCGCTGCTCGCTCGCTCGCTCGCTCGCTCGCTCTCTCGCTCGCTCGCTCGCTCGCTCGCTCGCTCTCTCTCTCTCGCTTCTCTCTCTCGTCGCTCGCTCTGTCGCTCGCTCGCTCGCTCGCTCTCTCTCTCTCTCGCTCGCTTCTGCTCGCTCGCTCGCTCGATCGCTCGCTCGCTCGCTCGCTCGCTCGCTCGCTCGCTCGCTCGCTCGCTCTCTCGCTCGCTCGCTCGCTCGCTCTCTCGCTCATCTCGCTCTCTATATATATAGATCGATATGTCGATCGCTCGCTAGATAGCTAGCTAGCTCGCTAGCTAGCATAGTCGTCATCGTTTCGTTAGTTCGTTCGTTCGTTCTTCGTTCGTTTTCGTTCGTTCGTTCGTTCGTTCGTTCGTTCGTTCGTTCGTTCGTTCGTTCGTTCGTTCGTTCGTTCGTTCGTTAGTTCGTTAGTTCGTTCGTTCGTTCGTTTCGTTCGTCGTTCGTTCGTTCTTCGTTCGTTCGTTCGTTCGTTCGTTCGTTCGTTCGTTCGTTCGTTCGTTCGTTCTTCGTTCGTTCGTTCGTTCTTCGTTCGTTCGTTCGTTCGTTCGTTAGTTCGTTCGTTCTTTCGTTCGTTCGTTCGTTCGTTCGTTCGTTCGTTGTTCGTTCGTTCGTGTCTTCGATTCTTCGTTCGTTTCGTTCGTTCGTCGTTCGTTCGTTCGTTCTTCGTTGTTCGTTCGTTCGTTCGATTCGTTCTTCGTTCGTTCGTTCGTTCGTTCGTTCGTTAGTTGTTCGTTCGTTTCGTTCGTTCGTTCGTTCGTTAGTTCGTTTCGTTAGTTAGTTAGAAAGGTTGATGTTTATTAATTCAAATCCACGGAAATGCTCCTAGCCTCTGTTGATCGTCTTCTGCATTCCTTCACCTATTTGGAAATCAAACCCACGACCTCCCGTCTGACAGACTAGAATACTACTAATATTAACTGGAAGTTCGGGATTAAAAGGGGAACAGGGATTAAGGATGGAGGGGTATTATAACAAAATATTCTCAGATGAATATAATGAAATACTATAAATGTCTACAGCATTTAAGATCACTTTTAACCACTGTGTCCTAACTAACATTTAAGTTGAAAATCCTATTTTATCAAACAAGTAACAAATACTTGTTAACAATTCAAATTGTTCTCACTTTACTTGTTCCACTACATCTCGAATATATTTTACAGTTCTAACAGCAGATGAATGGCAAGAACCTTATTTTATAGATCCTCATACTGCCGGTATCCAATGGCAAACAAGTGACACAGCTGTAGGTGTACAAACGATTAATGTTCGAGAAGAACTTGTTGTACCATACAAATTGGCCAAAATCAATTATAATGGTAAGAAATTTTACATAAGTATACTCAGCAGATACTTAAAAATACTTACTACTTAAAAATTACTTATTTTCAATAACAATAATAATGATGATGATAATGGTTGCTTGAAAAATTTTCCATTATTTCCATAAACATAGGCACTAGTACACCATTATTGGGAGCTTTTGATATTGGTGACAATAGCTTATTGGGTGCTAGACTTATTTTAACAGACAATCAATGGTATGAGAAAAATCAGTTTTATTTAACAAATTGTTTGTAAATATTATTAAGTCTTCTATTATGTTTTATGTTTATTTACAGGTTTATTACCATAGAAAAGCGTCAAGATTTTGAAAATCCTCAACAACGTATTTATTTCTTTCAAATTTATATTAAAGATGTTGCGTTGTCAAATGCGGTGGAACCTAGTGTTCTGATTAAATTGGAAAATATTTTTGATAATCCACCTACGCTAACATATGCTCCTTCACCGTGTAGGGTAGAGGTGAGTAGATTTTGAAGATTATACATTAACATTAAAAGTTCGATCTCTACAATCAGTTTGGATACTTTAGCACAGATACAAACCTAAAATTTCAAGATAAAGCTTAAAATTTCATAAAATCATAACTTTTTTCAAATACTCTCTAGGAACTTCATTCGAATTACATATCTGATTGCATTTTCACGGTCTATGATCCGGATGGTATGGATCGTAATAATATACGCATAGAGGCGGTAGGTAAAAATAATGAAAATTCTATATTCGCATTTGTGGAGCACGGAGAGACCACGACCTATGAAAAACAATATAAATTAAAGTAAGTTGCCATTAGTTTTAAACAAAATCTTTACGAGACTTTCAAAATAATCTGTTTTACTCAAGACTTCTTCAAGAACTGCACTACGAGGAGAAAGCCATCTATAATCTTGATGTCAAAGTGTATGATACGAATAATAACACGGGTGATATATTTGCCATATTGGAAGTGATCGATTTACCAAATCGTGATCCTATATGGGTAAGACCTTTAACAACGGCCACTTTTAATGAAAAAGAAGAACAGGTATTAAGGTTATAACTCATTTTAAATACAACAATTCTAAAATGTTCTAAATTCTCAAGATTTTCAGTTTAAAAGCTATAGATGGCGATACAGGTATTGATAAACCCATTTGCTATAGGCTCAAGTTTGAGGAAGATTGTAAGTAAAAGATCTTGTATATTAACAACTGTTAAATGCATATATTTTTCTCTAGACTCTGAATTTATAACCATTAACTCCTCGACGGGCTTGTTGCATATTCAACCCATAGATCGTGATCTTTTAAAACAACAGATTTTTAGTTTCTATGTAAGTTATTTCAAAATTCAATTTACACTTAAACCGATTTAATGGTCTCTGTTCATCTTTCAGACTTGTGCCTATAAATGTGATGATCCTTTGTGGTTTATAAAAAACTCCACAATTTTAATAGTTCAGGATATCAATGATCATAAGCCAGAGATTACTTTAGAACCACAAGTAGTACAAGTTTTAGAGTCAAAATACTTAACTTTGCCACTGCAGGAATTCTTTATAGAAGATTTAGATTTGGTAAGTGGATGAATATAAAATATGAACCAATTTGATCAGCATATTTATATTACTTTAGGGTTCAAACGCCACCTACAATGTATTCCTGACAAATCCCGTTGAAACAATTAAATATGCCGAAGCATTTACCATGATACCTAATAGTGGTTATCAGAAAACTGAATTTTCTCTAACAGTAACACATGCCGATCAATTGGATTATGAAGACGAAAATTGGAGAAATTTTGAACTAAAGGTACACT